ATCTGCTCATGGTGGCTGATTGCGATACAGGTCATAATCCCATCTACTCCATGTTAGTGGAAGGGACATAAGCCAAACTAAAAACTCAAAACACAACTCATTAATTTTTCCCCACAGGTCACTTCTGTTGTGTTTGGTATTATCATGCTGATGTATATACAAGTGGTAATTTTTCTAAGTATATTTTTAACAAGTTAATTGATGATATAAAAAGGAATATATTTTGTTTAATTTGGCAGCTTTGAATGGTGTTGTGATGCTGTCACTCCAATGTACAACATGGGTGTACTGTACATGGTTGCAACATGCACGCAGCTCTTGAGTCTCAGCTATTTCACCATGTTTCTCTTTTGTTTTAATTAACTTTCTCTTGTTCAGTTTTTTTTTTTTGTCAGGTGTGTGATGGCGAACAGTTCATTTCTAGTCAACCACTTTCTTCATCGACTTCACTTTTCTCATTCAATTCCTAAAGGCCTGCATGACCTGGACAAGTATTGATATTTGCATGAGGGGGATAATTTGAGTAATAAAACTCCTGTCATGTCCCTGAGGTACTGATGACATCAGTGTTTTGTTATTTTTGAATGCATGTCTCAAGGTGCAGTGAGTCATTCCTGGCTTTAATTTACCTCAGTGCTGACCCGCATCTCTACCCAAGTTGTCTTAAGGAGGGTTAGAGAGCTCACTGTGGTCACTAGGGTGGGCGCTCAGGAGCTTGTGTGGAGATTTGCTCTGTGAAAGGTGTGCACAGAGGTGTTTTCACTTTCATCTCCAAGTGCAATAACCACACACAGGTGAGGAAACCTCCAATAACACACCGATACTTTTTATACAAATAGAATGTGGCTACATACTATTATCTTATAACTATTGTGTCTGTCATCAATTAAATGCATTTAACACAAATGAAAATTAAATCCTTTAGTTTCTAAAAGCCCAGGCAGGATCTTTAACCAAGCTTTAATGAAACACATGACTACATAAAGGAGTTTTTATACAGTGGTTGATAAATAAATGACAACTTTGGTGGCTGGAGTAATATCTGTGTGTGTCTGTCCTTAAAACTATCATGAATTTGAGCCACTGTAACAAATAGCCTAAAAGCTTTGGTCTGCATGTTGTAATGAAGCTAAGCAGTAGAGAGTTCTCCTTCATCCCCAGAGAGGTGGGAGGAGGGTGGGGGTGCACACAAAATGAAAAGCTGGATGACGCAGCTGAAAAAGGAAGGGGAGGGAGGGATGGATAGAGCAGAATCCTGAACAAGGAGTGGAGGATGAGGAGGAGGTGGAGAGAGGGAGCGTAGGTGGACTACGTGGGAAGGAGATGCTAATAACCACATTTCTAGGGTTTTCTCCTGCTCTCATTTTCTTTTCACTTTCTTTAGTGTCCTCTGTTTTAAGGTATACCTGCCCATCTCAGTCTGTCTTGCTGTCTTGCTTTTTTCATATTCTTTTTCCTCTATCACTGTTTTAAATTTCATTTATTCTTTCTTTCCTTCCTTTTCTCTGTGACCTATTTAACAACAGATGCTAAGGTGCTTTAACAGACTCATTTGAGTCTATCACAGAAGAGATTGGTGTTATTGCATTTGTTAATGAAATTTAATTACCTTTTACTTGTATTTTGCACATCATAAGTAAACAAATAAAAAATATTACAATAATTTGGCTGCCTTATTTCCTTTTGTAATTCACAATACAGCACTGTAGTAGCAAAGCCCTTTTTAGCTTGTAGTTGTCTAACACATAACTAAACTGTGTTCAGTCAACATTATTTCACACTTATCAGCTTTTGGCATCACATTTATTTAGCCACATATAATAAGTGAGAAACAGAATAGCTGTCAAATTGTGAGCAAAGAGGAACCCAGTTAGTCATCAGTATCTCGCACATTTGATCAGCGCCTAGAGCTACTCTGTAAAAAGCAATCTGGTGGGAGAGAGAGGAGAGGAAGGAGGGGAATGCGTGGGTGGAGGGGGAAGAGAAAAACAGGTGGTGGTGGTGGTGAAGGGGAGGGATGAGGAGAGGAAAGGTGGGGCTTTTCTTTCAGAAACATCCCTGAATACTGAGCATCTTCACGAGAGTCATCTTACATTGGAGGCAGAGCAGGAGGGGAGGAAAGTATGTTCCCATTTATGTGTGTAGGGTAGACCTTAAATGTGCAATGGGTGGGCGGGCATGTCATGCAAGGGCACAAAACAGGGAACACCAATGCCATCACTGTTTGTGGTTCTAGATGGTTTGAGTAACAGCTCAGTTGGGAATGGTGTAAATTAAAGTATTAAGTAACTGCACCAAACTGTAATGAACCAGGACGGCTGAAGCATCTCAGAGCATCTGTATATATGTCATTTTATGTTTTGTCTGCAAAGCTGTCTTCCAGGATGGGTGTTTAATTATTTGTTTTATTACAGGTATCAATGGGATTTTCACTATAGAAGTCTTTGTATGTAGCCGAATTTGCTGATAGCCCCCTGTTCCCTCCAAATTCTCAACACACAGCACTCAATGTAACTGTATATTGCAGCTATATTTCTGACAAGGATGCTGAATTGAACCAGTACTCTTATACTAGAATACTACATGCCCATGGATTTTCTTTATGTCACTTAGTTTGTAGTACTTTAATAAAACGCAGATATATTTAGGCAAATGCATAGTGTAATTCGAAAAGAATATAAACTGGATTTTGACATAGAGACCCTTTACAAGATCTAGCATCTGCAGAGCTCTTATCTTAATCTAACAACTCAAGTGATGCATGGAGGTTTTCATTCAGCTCTGAATTTTGTCAGAGACTTGGATATGAGGCGGCCTCAGCAGATGTTTTGCTGGATTTGCAACACTGCACAGATGATGACGTAGCTCCACATACCGGAGGAAACCCCATCTACAACCTCCCAGCTGACTGACAGCTGATGTGTCTAGCTCAGTGATCGGCTGACGGATGACACAGAGTGATAGAGCAGAGGCACAGGATGATGCAAAAGAGTGAAAACATTAGGGAGGCAGTCTGAAGCCATTGCTGTCCTCCTCCTTTCAAAAAATCTTAGTGTCAGATTCCACAAAGCCTCACACCCCTCTTTTAGAGTGCACTGTTCACCCTGCAGTTGTTCACAATGAAATGCAAAGTGACAGTTATTTCATAGAGGACATTTGCTATTATGAAAATTTTTCCAAGGTAATAAATTGCAGGAAATTATATAGCCTGAGGCAAGATAACATACTGCAACTCCATCTGTTGAATACCTGTGTGTGTTCACGTAAGCCTCTCTCAAGGTTGTCTTCTTTACTGATTATAGTAGCTTTTATTGATCATTAATTGGCAGTTGTAATTAATAGCACCTTTAACACTAATGACTGACATGTGTCACAAGAATATGACTGGTGCATTCACATTTCCAGTAGCTCTGACATATTTTCACTTCAATCCTTGTTAAATGACTGAAGTAAATGTCAAACACATGAGCCTACTGTGTTTTTGACTTTCTCCTGTGCATCAGGAGTGCAGCCCCTGCCATCCTAGTTGCAGTCTCCTCCATCTCATCTGTCAACACTCTGCAGTTTGCTTCACCTTGACTTTGATATATCATTTTGAGTGGTGAGTTGGCAGTATACCAGACTCTAGCAAGGTGCTGTGTGGCTTCTAGCTTGTTCCTTTAGAGAAAGAATCAGGTTTTGCATTGATGTAGATCAGTCTGTGCCTGGCATTTCCCATCCATCTCAGCTCCATTGTAGAGTGTGATACTGAGGAGACTTCTTTTACTGTACATAGAGCTCAGACCCACACATTTATTCACAACTGTGCCTCCAGTTGTTCTAGCATTAGTCATTGCACCTTTGTTAGGTGTTAAATCTAGCTGAATAAAAAATTAATTCTGTGTCTTGTTATAAAACACTTAAGTTACTGTATGTGTAGAAGAACAGTCATTACATAATTTGCACTGGTACTGTAACTTTGGTTTAGAGGTACAATGCCAGTTTACCTCAGAAATGCTGGGCACAGGATAAAAAACACCAGAATTCCCCTCTCGTCCCACACCTTCCCTACATCAAACTTTCTCTTCTGTTGACAACTATATCTTTCTGAAACCAACAATCAGACATACACATCCACCTTAAGCTGTAACTGACTACGGGTGATAAGTGTGGAGGTAAGATAGGAAGCAGGGTTTCACCTTCTTTCTCTAGCTCTGTTTTTCATTCTTCACAACTATTTGACACTATTCCGATGAACAACCGAGGGCTACACCATGAATAGATTGAAAGTGTGTGATATTGTCCCCTGTCTCTATCTGCCTGCAACTTACTGCAGGTAGCCCTGGCTCTGGAGCTGTAATTTTCTGATGAGCACTCACCAGCCACATCAACCTGCCCAGTAAACGTGTCAGTTCTCTCTGCTCTATCCACTCACCCCAAACGGTCAAGGCAGAAGGCTGCCCACCAAGAGCTAGGATCTGTAAGAGGTTTCATCTGTTAATGGGAGATTTTCCTCCCCACTGTTGCCAAGTGCTTGCTCAAGAGGGATTTGTTGGGTTTTTCCCCTCTATAATACTGTAAGGTCTAAACCTTGCTGTGTACAAGGCCCTGAGATGATCGTTACAAATTGATGCTATGCAAATAAAATTTAAGTGATAATTTCTCCTTTGGCCTTTCACTTTTTAATGTTCAGGACATCAGAAAACCATTGAATTTCAATGAAGTTCAACAGCACACTGTAGCCTGATCCTTAGTGGTGGATTAGTCCAGTGTTAGCTCATTTAAGTTTCTAGTTCCTACAGCTGTGATCAATTTATATTTCCAAACAAGCATCTAGCCAGAAAAAGCAGCATTATTTCATTGGCACTCAGTTTAACTCATAGGTAGCCCAGTGGGATAGAATATAATGAGAAGGGAAATGTGAACATTTGAGATGTTTCCTTTGTAGATCACTGTTATGATTGGTTACTCTCTCGCCAAGCAGCAAGAGATTGAAAATAAGCTGGACCCAGAGAGCAGTGTATTGACAACAGGTTAACAGGGGTTTATTACAATTAAGGCTAGCAACAGGTGGAACATGGGAAGAAGGTGCTTGCTTCAACCCAGGCTGAAGAATGGATGGAGGCCCAGTTACTCACGTTGGTAGTTACTCTGGCAGTGGAGGCAGAAAGCCAAACTAGTTCCTGGAAAAGCAAGAAAGAGTTGAATGGGTGTTAGACAACAGGAGTCTGAGGAGACCGCAGGATTTTAAACTGTGTGGTCAGTGGATTGCTGGCCACCATTATCTGGATGGGAGGAGTTTGGTGGGTGATATAGGCCAACAACCCTCCATCAATAGAATGTGCCTCCAGGCTTCGCTTTAAGGGTTTGTGTGAGTTGTAATTTTAACTAGCTCCATGTCCATCAAATTTTCACCAGCCTCGAAGTCCACTAGTGCGGTCAAAGACACTGGCTGGGGGCGCTCAGAACGACTTGCATCTCTAGGCTTGTGGATTTCTTAGTGGTGTTGGTTTTTGGCTTGCCTGCCAGCACCCATACTCACTGATGGTCTCTCCTTTTGGCAGGTCTCTTGCACTCCTCCATACGATGATCCAGGCTACCACAATATATGCAGGCTCCAGTTCACCTCCGCCATGCTCGTTCTTGTGGAGTGAAGCATGTTCTTCCCAATTGCATTGGTTCCTCCTTGGGCATTGAATGAGACAGGGTGGAACCAGTCTGGGGGCTAGCCATTTGCTGTCTGGGTGCAGTTATCAAGTTTAATGGCCAGGTTAGCTAGGGCATTGAAGTTGGCGGTTTTGTCCCTGGTTGCTAATTAATACTTAATGTTGTCCTGTAACCCATGCCAGTAAGCACCCCGGAGGACTTTCTCATCCCAGCCAGCCTCTGCAGCCAACACCCAGAACTCCACTGTATACTTCGTGACACTGAGGGACCCTTGATGCATTGTCATTAGCTCTCACTGCACTGCCCTGATGATCAGGATGGTCAAAGACAGTCTGAAGTTACTTGTGCCAGTAGTTACTCTGGCAGTGGAGGCAGAAAGCCAAATTCGAGTTCCTGGGAGAGCGAGAAAGAGTTGAATAGGTGTTAGCGTCACGAAGAGCAGGGGCCTTGTCACGTGAGCTCTGGTGGCTGGTAGAGGACAGGGGTGATGAGTACTGGGAACTATAGCTGGGTCAAGACTGGAAGTAGTAGCTGGGTGCAGCCAGAGAGGAATGGAGCCTGGACAGAGGTGGGTAACTGCTGAAAGTAGTGTAGATGAGGGCTTTGGTGGAGGCTTGGTATGGAATTAACAGCTGAGGAGCGACCCAGATAGGATGTGTCTGACCGGTGAGAAGCTGCTGCAGAAGGGGGTAGTTGACAACAGTGTTTGAGGCAGAGCTGAAAGATGTGGCGAAGGATTGGCCCAGACAGAATGGTGCCGATGCAGGAGACACACTACAGAAGTAGTGTAGCTGAGTGCTGTGGCTTGAGCTAGCAGATAACAGCAAAAAACGTAGCCCCAGAGACAGGCTGAGAACTACACAGGAAGCTGAATTGCAGAAAATCTTGAAACAGTCTTACTTGAATAGCAATCATTGTAGAAACACAAAACAGAAAATCGTAACTTCTTCCACAGCCAAACTTCATGGTAGGGGTTGAACGACGAACTGGCAGCATTGACTGGCTCCTACGTACTCAGCCTCATAATCAGCTGATGCACCTCAGCTGCAAGCTCCACCTGGGAGTGTGTCTGTGGAGAGAGGGAGAGGAGTGAGAGGTCAATGGCAACAAGCAAACCTGACAGGACCGACCGACCGACCCCCCTTTCCCAGATCCTCAAGGTGACCCACCTGGCTTGTTACAGTGATCTTGATGGAACTCCCAAATCATGCGTGGGTCCAAGATATAGGACTGAGGGATCCAGGAATGTTCCTATGGCCTGTAGCCCTCCCAATCAACCAGGTACTGATAGCCCCAGCCCTGTGGGTGCATGTCCAGGATGCGTCGGATGGAGTATGCAGGGCCACTATCCACCTCAAGAGCAGGAGGAGAGAGAGAAGGCGGAGGGCAAAGAGGGCTGGAGGAAACCTGATGGATCTGAGACACATGAAAGACTGGGTGAACCCAGATGGACTGAGGTAGCTGAGACAGACCGCTGTAGGATGAATGACTTCAGCAATGGCAAAAGGGCCCCAGATAACATGGTGCCAACTTATGAGACCTCTTTAAGAGGAATATGCTCAGATGATAACCAAACTTTGTCCTACCTCATAAGTTAGTGCTGCCCGTTGATGGCGGTCAGCTAGGAGGCAATTTTCTGACGTATGGGTAAGGGCTGCTACAGTCTCCTTCCAGATCTGTTGGCAGCGGTGGATATGGGCCTGAATGGATGGAACTACCATGTCTATCTCTTCCTCAGCCAGTAATGGTGGTTGATACCTCAGAGAGGCCTCAAAGGGGGACAGACCAGAGGCTGAGCTGGTGACTGAGTTGAGGGTACTCCATCCATAGCAGCAGAATGCTCAATGCATTTGGTTCAGTTGCAGTAATGCAGCAGCGATCATCCTCTACCTCCTGGTTAAGTCTCTCCACCTGCCCATTTGTCTGTGGGTGAAAGCCAGAGGAAAAGCTCAATTTTGCCCCAATAGTTGAACAGAAGGCTGACCATACCTGAGATATGAACTGAGGTCCTCTGTCAGAAAGAAGCCCTAGTGCAGAAAATTTTAAAACAGTCTTACTTGAATAGCAATCATCATAGAAACACACAGAACAGAAGATCACAACTTCTTCCACAGCCAAACTTCATGGTAGGGGTTGAACAACGACCTGGCAGCATCTGCAAGTCTGACCGGCTCCTACTTACTCAGCCCCATAATTAGCTGATGCACCTCAGCTGCAAGCTCCACCTGGGAGTGTGTCTGTGGCAAGAGAGGGAGAGGAGAGTGAGAGAGGCAGGTAGCGACGAGCAAACTTGACAATCACAGGTTGATATGGCTTTTCTCTCCAGTTAATTTGAGGAGAGGCAGGAAATCAATATGAGCCATTCAAAAAGAAAAAGAGATTCATGATGGGAACCTTATCTGTGTATTCATTCCCACACCTTGATTAATAGCCATCCCCTTGACATGAAGCAAGTTAGTACAGTGGTTTTCTTCATTCATTTATTCACAGATTGGAAAACAACCCTAAAACAACACATTTTTTATGATTTGGTCCTTTAAGGCTCAATAGATTTGGATCAACAAAAGCAAAGTTACATATTAAGAAAGCTTGTCTTTTTTTTCTTTGAGAAATTAAGCAGTTTACAAGCAAGGAATACAGAAATACTACTTTCAAAGAGATAAATCTCACAAAATCTCATCAGTTACAGCAATCTAACATGACTCTTAAAAGTGTATTCCATAAAATACAAAATCTATAGTTATACCAATGTTTTGACTTTTTAGACAAATGAGCAGACCTATGGACTTGATCGCTTTGTACTGTAAGTCTGAGAAAACATGAAGTTTTGTACTAAAATGTTAACTTTCATGCAGGCCTACACATAGCTATGCATCAATGCATTGGACAGGCTACTGGTTAGTATACAAATACCATTTACCACAGTGTTTCCAGTTATACAGTATCTGTCTAAACCTAATACAGGACAATTGAGTCTAGCTCCGGTGACACTGGTAACTGATGTGGCTTCTAGCTTGTTCCTGTAGAATACTGTACAGCAAAGTTTAATTGTTGTACAAATGTACTGATTTGATAATTAAACTTTATGACCATTTTGTTTCTATGATTGTGGTTGCTGTACTGTTGTCATTTTGTACTGACTGAGCTCAGAGAAATTTTGATACAGTATATTGGAAACGTAGCTTCCTCTTCTACCCGGACCTGTCATTTGCTGAGTAATTATTATCATCAAGGAAACATCCGTTCCATCATAACTGAAAAGGGGGCTAC